ACCAAAAGAGTTGTGAATAGTTTACCACCAGGACTTCCTTCAAGTGTTAATGAAGGTTGTCTTATGGTACGTTTGTCTTCGCTCTTCTTTTTATTTCTTTAATTACCGTTTGTCTTTCAGAAGAGACGTTCTCGTACTCCTATTGGGCATTCTAAATTATTATGTAAGAAATGTAAACCCTAACTCTATTAATTGCTTTCACATTTAATTTTATAAATTCATTTCCCTTTAAAGTTTCAGGCCTTTACAAAATAAATTTAAAACACTTATATCAAATTATCGAGATTTAATTTGCTAAATATTCTTTATAACGTAAATATATTATTGGAAGTAATGTGTATAATAACGTCTAAGCTAAGATACTTTTGTTTTTGTTTTTTTTAAAAAGAAAAAAAGATAAATTATCTATATATATATATATATACACACACACACACTATAAAGTTACAAGGACCAAGGAAAAAAGTAAAACTCTCCATTGCAGGGAAATATGTCTATATCTATAAATCTCGTCTTGCATGAATGAAGGGCATATATAGATGATGGGTTTTTCATGAAACATATTTCAAACGTTGATTAAAAGTTTTATAGGAAAAAGTAAACTGCAAGGGGAGCCTCAAATAGTTATATAATGTTTAGCATTTTCTAAATGGAAGGATATTTAATTAGCATTTTCCATATGCGATAATTAATTTACTACTCCCCTTTCCAAAAGTTGTGACACGCTGCAGGAATCAATTAAGTCATTGTATGATGCTATCTACATGAAATAAATAACCAATTTTTACCATTATTATTATTATTTTCATTAAATAAAATTAAAATTAAATAAATTAAATTAAAATTATATAAATAATAATTATATTTACATAAAAAAATAATAATAATTAATAAAAATAAAAATAATAAAATGTTAGGTGTTACAAACTACACTAAATTTATATGTTAATTAAATGCGCGTCAGGAGCTTGTTGGATCTCCCTGCAAGCATATTTTCTTCTCCTTGTTTTCTTTTCTGTGTGTATTAACTTTAGGGTGACTGAACATTTATTTTTTGATCTGTCTTTCTTTTTAAATAAATTATTAAGGCAAGTTTCAGATTCGTACGGAAGTACAAGTTTGATGAATCACGACATTAAATGGATAAGCTAACGGTGCCACCGTTGCTCCAATTGAACCAACCACCTTTTTTTTTTTAACTGAATGGGATTAATCCACAACCACTAAATTCATTTTATCTATCAAAATGGCTGGATCGTGAAATGAACAATATACTTTTATTTTTAACATTTTTATAGTAACTTTTATGAATATACTACGTGTTTATGCATAATTTTCTACCAAGAGGAAACACCATTATGTTGTGAGGTTACTAGCATACATCAAATCTATATAAACAAAATTAGTTTTATAGCAAATTAGTCTCTAATATTTTGTATTCATTACAATTTGATTCTTGACTTTTTTTTTTACTACAGTTTACCTTTAATATTTTTTATTTGTTTTAAATATTTTATTTGAATAATTAAGTAAATTAATAATAATATTTGACCTTTTCTGTTGTTAGTAATTTATTCATTGGTCAAAATCAGTTTTTAACTTATTTTTTTTTCAAGGCATTCAAACATGATCTAATTATTTTAACCTTTTTCTACTAAGAAATTAAAGCTTTTAAGATAAATAAAAAATATTGAGGACCAAATTTTATAATAAAAAAATATTAAAAATTAAATAATAATAAGTGTCGAATATCGAGAACTAATTTAATAATTTATCTTATTAAATAATTGTCAGGTAAAAATTATATATAGTGCATATTAGAGACTCTTAGAACTCTACTTTCCAATCAAGCAGGTCAAAATATTTCTCTCATTTTATCTAGAAGAAGCATTATAAATGCTTAATGTACTATAGATTAATGATTGCCGCCTAACAAGCTATGTTGGAACTCATATCAAAATGGTAGGTACAAAATAAATTTTGGATATTATAGAGTATTAAAAGTAGGAATCATAACAAAAGGAATCTCTTCATTAGGGGTCTCAAGCTCCCACTAGAAGAAGTTACAATATGCACCTATAATACCAAGAGTCAATAACATGGATTGGATATTGTATAAGGATATTTTGCCTATTAAACACAATATGGCTTGAAAAAGAATGCAAGTAGACATTATCTGCTCACTAAATAAGGAACATGAGGAAATAGTTTTCCATCAATTTAGGGATCATGATTATGTATAAAAAAATATAGAGAATTAGGAGTGGATGAGATTTGCATTTTCCACTTTTACCAATCCAAGAATGACTTAAAATAGTTTATGTATAAAAAATAAAATATGGTGAGCACGGTTCATGTAATAATATGCATTGTCTAGTGAGTACAGAGTCAATGAATCTAAAAAAAACTTGTGGATAGAATCAATAAAAATGATGTTAAAAATATCAGTTTTTACTTATAAGGAATCACAAGTACATGAATAACATATGTCAACACAAAATATGTGTTCCATAAATGTAAGATGGATTGTCCCACCTGAAGGCATCTACACATAAGTTTAATTGTAATGTTTCGTTGCATGGTGGTGGATAACATTATATATAACTTAGCTAGAAAAGCACAAATGATATCTTTTGATATATTAGCAACAAGAGCCTCGTAATTTTTTAAACTCTCTTGTTTGATTAGAATATCATGACTCTTGATGGATTATTGGAAGGAAACATTTTATATCTAAGCAGAATGCCATGACTTTTGATTGATTATTGGAAGGACATTTTTCTATTAAAAAAAAGTTAAAGAAAAACAGGACATGTGACCATAAGGTACTTCAAATACCAGAGGACATATGATCGTAAGGTACCTACTCTATATTTTAGGTAGGACCCATACAATGAGCCAACATACATATAACTCATAGAAATTAATTTTTACAAGCTCTCAGAGAAATATTAAGAAAATAAAAACAAAAATAAAAAATTTACTCCTTTGACACAACTAAAGGCATGCATGAAGTTAAAAATGTTTGATATTAAAATAAATTGGTTATGGTGCACTAATAGATGGATTAGTTGCATATTTTAAAACTTGCTCTAAGGACTCAATACATATATTAATCTAATTTATAATTAATGTGATATAAAATAATTTTAGCAAAATATATAGTCTAATAGCTTGAGCTTTGGCTATTTTTATCTTTATCCCCCCTCCCCCCCCCCCCCCCCCCAGAGCTATTTTACATAAGATTTATAATTTTTTAGAGTCTAATATTTATATATAATGAAAATTTCAAAATAATAGAAAACCTAAATTTATAGATATTTGATATAAAATAACAGGAGACAGAATTGATGCGTATTTCAATTTATAGTAAAAAAATTTGAGATAATGAAATTCAAATTAAAAAAGACCAAACCACATAATATTGTACTCTAATTTAACCAAAAATATTTCTCATTAATTAAAAATTTTGGGGAAGAATATTAAAAAAGTACTTTTTTAGTGAACAAAAATAAAGTAGGAAAAATGTACACTGTTTTTTTAATACGAGTGAAAAGAGTACTTAT